TCCGATCACTTCCCAAAATTTAAGTTGTCAGGAAGTTTCTGAGTTCCCAGTATGGGTATTCCTTTTTTTCTGGTAATCGTGTTTATTATGATGGTCCCTAGAGACAGTACTATGTGTGGTACTGTGCAAACACACTGATAGATAGGCCAGCGCTCTGAAAAACTAATCTTAAATATAATCTAATAGAAATTGAATAGACTGCACAGAGACTGGCTAGGGCAAAGGGAGAGAACATGCAGGGAGAGTGATGACAGAAAATGGCCCAAACAGTTTCAAGGTAGGTGGGTTTTTGTTTGCTTTTGCTTTATTTGATATTTGTGGATGGGATTGGATATAGCTCCCAGGGATTGGTTTACTATTTTTTTATCAGTTTGATCTTTTCTCCTCTTGCTGTGTTCTTTACCAGTGTATTACAGAGGTTAGTTTGAATGACATTTCTGTAGTGTGAAAGGTCTGACCATCCCACCTCCGAGAAAAAGACCAACATTATTTTCTTGGAGGAAAGCTCATTCGTTTGCTTTAAGATTCACTGAAGCGTAATTGAAGACTTCATGACTGATGATATATGGTGGGCATCAAGGTCAGCCTTTCTGAAGGACACATTCTAATTTGGTATTCAAGATCCTTTTGTCATGGAGGTATTCTGGCTGTCATCACTTGAGTTTACCTTGCTTGCCTGGAGTTAATATTCATGTGTAAAAACAGAAATATATTTTACACTTATCACAGACATTGCTACTGAAATCGGATTCTAAACCATGTTAGCCATATTACTGCATGGGTGAGTTCCTTTCTGGTTGGCAAATTATGTCTCAAATACGTTGAGGCAGGGCAAGAACAACTGCTATAGAAGAATAATCTACATGCTCTGTGTGTGCGTGCGTGCATGTGTGTGGGTGGGTGTGCAATTTAATTGTAAGGCTTTAAATCAGCTGACTAAATTTTAACAAGTATAACTGGGGAAAAGATGAATCACACACAACATTTTCATGGGTTTAATAATAGCAGGGGAATAATTGACCTTTAATGTGAAGTGCTCGGAGTTTGGTTGTGCAAGCTTGCTTTGTTTCAGAGGTCTCTATTTAAATTTGGGTTATGATTCTCCCCTCTTACTCATCATAGGTAAAAATTCCATTACTGTGAAAAAGGCCTAAGGCAAAAAAACAAGTATCACATGACACAAAAGCAAGCAATCCCTGTCCTTTTTATTTCTCTAGTGCTTTCAAAATCGAGCCTTTGTCAGACTGTGTGAAATAGGATTTTTTCATTTCCCTCCTCCTCTTGCTTTCCCATTCACCAGTGCCAGCCAACAGTGTAAATTAAGAGTTATTTTGGATTTATATATGAGACAGTACTCTAACTGTGGGGGAGTAAGGACTTGCAGTGCTGGATTGAAGGCTTGTTTCATTCAATCCAGAGTATTAGACTCAAAGGGGTACAAGACCTGCCATAGCTTGACTCCAAGAGTGGCTCTGCCTGTGTATTTTGTATCTTAGAAGAGGGACAGGACAGGAGAATGGGCCTCTTTTCTCCTTCTCAGGAGTAGCGGCATGGTCTTCCCACCCAAAGGCTGAGAGTAGGTAGCAGGTTTCCATATGTCTCCCTATATCCCCTTTGCTACATACTGGGTGCATCCACATGAGACACTTAATGTGTAGTAGCCTAATAACACTGCACAGTTGCGTGCCAGGCAAAACCCATGCTAATATGCTACTGCGCAATAGTATTGGGCTACTGCACAGTAAGCACCACAAAAAAAAAATGTGCTGGTGCTACTGCGCAGTAACTGTCATTACTGTGCATTTAGGTAGCACTTAATTAAGCAAGTACTAAACTAAATGTGCAGTAACTACTGAACATTAATGAATGTGTAGACCTGCCCAGTGAGCACATCTACATGAGACGTTAACTGTGGAGTTGCCTAATTAGCTCCACAATAAAACATTACCATCTACACATGGTGCTATTAGGAGGGAGTAGACTAATTAACTCCACCATAGGATAGTACTGCCAAAGACAAGTCCTATCCTACAGTAGAGTTATTTACTCCAGTGCACCACATGTGTAGATGCTGCAGAGGGTGCTTCAGTGCCAGCTAGTCCTGCACTGAATCACCCTCGTGTCCAAGCCAGCCCCTCTGCAGCATGTTGAGCCAGGTTGGAGCAACCCCAGGCTGGAAGGCTGACCCCCGGCCCCCTCTGCAGCTGGGCCTGCTCCTTCCCAGCTCAGTGTGCTGTGGTCCCAGGCACACATGCAAACGGCACACCTGGGAGCAATAAACTCCAGCATGAACTATACCAGAGTTTATTGATTCTCATTAATAGCACGTGTAGACATGTCTACTGTGAATGCACTATATAATTCCCCTCCTGCCTACACGCTACAGTTTGATAGAATAGCACAGGGAGGACACCCCAGATCTCAGGCATAAGAGCCCAATGAAAAACACTAGTTGTCTTTGCCCCTTTGTCTCTACACTCTCAAGCAGATAGATACCACAGCTTTGGTTGTTCTCAAGGCTCATTTTCGAGCTTTTTTTTTATTAACATAATGGCTTAGAAAAAAACTCTCTTGTCATTTTTGAATTTCCTATAGAAAAGAGAAAAATCTGCTTTATTTATCACATCTTTTTTATGTAATTTTTGTTGTTGTGGGGATCAGATAGTACAGGGATGGGCTAAAATCCAATAAAAATGAGGCGGAGGTTCTCTCTCCAACACATCTCCATAATAAACTTCTGCATTATTTTTGAGCCAAAGCTGTTGTATTAAATTCCCATTGAAAACATCACTAAATAATGAAATTTCCATTGGAAAGGGATGGCATATTCTTCAGAGCTGTGTGACAATGTGACACTGGCATTTTTTTGTCATAGCGATTCTAATAACGTATTTTGCATGCTTCCTTGCCATATGTCAGAAAAGTAAAAGTAAAAGCTTTCTGTTGTGCCTGGATAGCCCTTTCCCTCTGACTTTTAGATCCAGCAGTCAGAGGAACAAGGAGTCTACCATATGAGTAAAGCTCAACAGAGCTTTGTTGAGGACCATCCCAAGTCTGAGATGAACTCCTTCAGGCATTAAGACTTATCACATACCTCACATACCATGTCAAGTTGTGCTCCAAAAGAAAAGTTTAAACTGTCTGCATAGTTCTTCTCCACAGGAAGGAATCTGGGAGACTATGAATGACTGATTGTTACGTCACTCAGTGCATACAGGAAGGCACTTGGACAATGCAATGAAAAGAAACTCTGCAGAATAGACTAGTAGGAGATGGCTGTAACGTATCCCTGAAAAGCATGCATAACCTCCTTTAACCCCTGTACTTGAAATTGGATTCAATTTTAAGTTATGCCCATTCAGGGTCTGAGTCCTCCAGAAGTAAGTAGAATATTAATAGCTTGTGATTTTAGGATCTAGCAAGTGTGATGTTTCCAGTTCTGATAGGAAAGTAATAATGCACATGGCCATAATGATTTCATCTGGAATACCGTGTACAGTTCTGGTTAGCCATGCTCCATAAAGATAAGCTCAAGCTGGAACAGGTAGGGAAGGGTTACTAAGAAAATCAGGGGAATGGAGA